AAAATTTTCAGCAAGTTAATTTCGCCTTGAACTTGATGCAATTTTTTTTTTTTTCTTTTTAAACTTGTCATTGCCATTTTTCAACTTTTTTTTTTTTTCGTTTCGTTTCGTTTTGTTAGTAAATTTATTGCATCGTCAGATTTTTGTTATTTTTCTCTTATTAATCATCATCATCATCATCATCATTATCGTTGTCATTATTATTATTATCATCATCACCATTGCCTTTTATTTTTTTTTCTGACGTTGGAAAAAACTTACATATATACTTGAACTGGGTCGCCGGTTATTATCATTACTATTATTATTATTATCGTAGGATAACGATGATTAACTTAAATTACAAAAAAAAAAAAAAAAAAAAAAAAAAAAAAAACGACGTCGACAACGAGAATGATAACAACAACAACAACAATAATAATAATAATAATAATAATTAAAATTACTCATTTAACCTAAAAAAAATCAACATGGCGTTTATATTATCATCATCACTGACGTGGTTTTTTTTTTTAACCCTAAAAAAAAAATTTTAGACCCCGAGAAAAAAAAGAAAAGAAAAATCCACGAAAATTATAAATAATAAATAATAATCATTATTATTATTATTTTAAATCGAATATAATCGCGTTAGTCGGTGCCGCCGCCGCCATTTTGTTTTTTTTTTTCGAGTTTCGTGAAAATCGATTTAATTGAATTTTTTTTTTATTTTCAGAGGAACCGGACGCGCATTTGTTGCGTTTTTTAAACAACGTATCGATTTTAAATCGTCTGCTTTATTCTATTTTTATTTATTACTCTATGACTTACGTCTTGGATGGAAAGAGAGAGAGAGAAAGAGAGAATGCGAAGGAAGTTTTATTTTAAACATGACTGACTCGAGACCGGGTATCATCCTGTGTTGACTTCATCGTTTTATAAATTATTATAAGAAAGTGAACACAGCTGGTGGTATCTCAGCTTCTGGTCAGTTCAGCAACTTTATTTTACTTACTAGAAACAAAACATCGAACGATAGATCGATCGATCGATCAATCGATTCCGCATAACGATAAATAAATAAAATGTTTTTGTCGTCGTTCTTTGTAAACATTACATAATTTGTTTATAAACAATCATCACTGTAATCAACGTAATTTATTTATAGTTTTGAATTATTATTATTGTTATTATTATTGTAAAAACAAAATAATGTAGAATGTTTTTGTTTTTTTTTTTTTTGGAATATTTTGATGTGAATCGTTACTGGATAATTTGTTGTTGTTGTTGGTGTCGTCATCGTCATCGTCGTGGTCGTCGTGCAGCATTGGCAGTGTGGTTAGCTGGTTGTGTGGTGATAACAATAAAATAGTCACAACCACTATCTTCACTGGCAACGTAACACGGCAAAATAATTCGTCGTAAGAATATTCATTATTATTATTATTATTATTATTATTATTATTATTACACGGCGTACTCTTGGATTGTGGTAACCGATGAAAAGAAAAAAAGAAAAACGACGTGTGATGTATTCGAACTTTGGAACTGAAACGTATGGAAAAACATCATCGTCATCATCATCATCATCATCATCGCTACAATCGCACAATTCTATATCGAAAATGTTGAGAAGAAGAAGAATTTATACAATAATAACAACGCGATATGGATGGAGAGATCCCATATCGTGAATTTTCAGGTAATTTAATAATAATAATAATAATAATGTTTTAAAAAAATTTAAACTCCCATAAGTGAATAAATAAATAAATAAATAAACGCGTGAAAAATTTTATATGAAAACGAACGAAAAAATGTCACGTGACCACCTAAATCACAATCGATTTTTATAATTATTAAACGTTATTTTATTTCAGTTTTTTTTTTTTTTTTTTTTTTTTTTATAGGATAAAATATATATATCGATCGATATATCGAGATATCGACGAGGTGTTGTAAATTAAGTTGTCTGCCTGTTGCCGTCGTCATCGTCGTCGTCGTCGTTAAAAAAATTTGAAATATTCGAACATGATAGAAAAAATAAAAAAATATCCATCACCGGAACCGGAAAAACATTTTTAAAAAGGTACGTTCAGGTATTAAAATAAAAAAAAAAGAAGGGAGGGGTTTCGAAAAGTAAAAACGGTTAAAATTTTTTTTTTAACAAAATGGCGGATATCGACGTCGACAAAATGGAAAATTTTGCGTGCGGAAAAAAGAATTAATTAATTTTTAAATATGGAAAAATCATACGTGCGTGGGTTGTTTAATAATAATAATGATAGTCGAGATTTATTTTTACGTACTCTATGGATTTTTTTTTCTTTTGTTTATATCTCTATGATTTATTATTGTTGATGATGCGAGATGAGCGTGTAACCTTCATTTTGAATTATATAATTTATATATATATAAATTCATACATTCTCTTCCGTTGTGTTGCGAATAAATTTTTTTTTTTTTTAAATAAATGCGCGTAATTTTTAAATTTAATTAATATAAAAATAATTACGACATATTAATTATTTAATTTGAGTAATTAAATAAAAATAAGAAAAATGAAGGGAGGGGGGAGGGAGGGAAAAAAATTTTTTTTTTTTTATTCCTTTCTAAAGTTTTTTTTTTTTTTTTTTTTTGTAATTTATTAAGTTGTCAGTTATAATATATAAGGATATGAATACGTTAATCATTTTATTAATTACTTTGAATTATCATTATTATTATTATTAAATATTTTTTTGGGTTTCGTTTGAGTCATAGAGTAAATAATAATAAATTTATAATCGTAATTATTTATTGGGGGATTTATTCTATTCGCCGCCGACAATAATAATAATAATGATACGAACGACGAATGAGATTTTAATGAAAAAAAAAAAAAAACTCCGATTCTAAAACCACGTCGATAATTAATAATAATAATAATAATTAAACAAATTATTTATTTTCAAAAAAAAAAAAAAATTTTTTTTGTACGGTTTTGAGTATTTCGTGTGATTTGTAATCGACCTCGATTACTTTTTGATTTTGGTTTTTGTTTGTTTGTTTGCTTGTTTGTTTGTTCGTTTTGAATATTTGCATTCGTTTTAAATTGGAAGACATTTTGTTTTGTAAGATTTTCAACGGACATTTTGATAGTTTTTTCTTTTTTTCTTATTGATGAAATTATTAGCGTGTGTGTGTGGGTGGGTGGTGGATGGTGGTGGTAGCGGTGGTGGTGGGTGATCAATCTTAATTATTAAATTGAAAAAAAAAAAAATTGAATGTAAAAAGTAATGAAATTTACGTCGCGTACGTGAGAGAAAAGATTCGATACACAATTATCTCTATGACCTTTTTGTCCTACCTTAATTATCTTTTCCTTTCTCCCCCCTCTTCACTTCCCCCTCCTGCACACTCGTTCGAATTTATATTCATTATTTTTTATAATTTGTTTATTTTTTCAAAGCAGAATTCATTTTCCATTTTGAAAACAAAAAAAAAAAAAAATAGTACATGACGTATGGAATTAAAAAAAAAAAGAGGGAGAAAAGTTTTTTTTGTTTTTCCTTTATTTATTATTTATCGTGTTGGATTTGTCGTAATAAATTACGACAACCGTTTCGTTTTTTTTCGTTTTTTTGTATTTCTAATCAATAATTAATGTCGAGTTTATCGATTTTAATTTTTTTTCCTTTTTTTTTGTTCGTAAATAAATGTACGATTTGTTTGTTTTTTGTGTGTGTTTCGAATCGTATATAAATAATACAATGAAAAAAAGAAATGATTCCATAGAGATTTTAAAAAAAACGCGCGCAGTCTAGCGATTAATTTTATAAGTTTTGTATTTTCTTTTTTCACCGATAGACTGCGCTCTACGTCAAAACATTCAATATGTCGATCGATTTGTTTTTTTTTTTTTACTTTATGAAATGTGGATTCGTTTGAAAAATTTCATTACAAATAATAATAATAATAATAATGGTAAAAAATATTTAAATATATAATTATTATTATTATTTAAAAATTAAAACAACGTAAGAAAAAAATGCACACACGTATAATTTTTTTTTTAAATATTTTATTCGAAAAAAAGTTTTTTTTTTTTTTTTTATTGGCCTTGACGCCGACAACGTTTTATTTTATTAAATTTTTTTTTTTTTTTATATATTTATTTTCCACTTGGAAATCATGTTATTAATTTAAAAAATTTTTTTTTTTTTTTTTTTTTCATATAACATGACATTGAAGGTTAAATTAAACGTGAAATAACAACACGTAAATAAAAAAAAAAAAAGTCCAAAAAATAAATTTTCATAAATCCGCCATATTTGTTTTTAATCCGTTAAAAAATTTTTTTGTTCAAATGATTTCAGGTATTTTAAATCGATGAAAACAATAATCGACGACGTTTATATTAAATTTCATATAATGACGACAACAATCGAGTACGGACGTCCAGAATTTAATATTTATTTGAGGGGATAAATTAATTTGTTGGTAGGGATCACGATTAATGTCGTAGAATTCAATAAAGGATTCGTCATCGTCAAAAAGGCAAAAAATGATATTTTCACGACCGGAAATACGTCTCAAACATAAATAAGTATTATTTTTCGAATCGAAACATTTGCAACATGTTTCCGGGTAACATAATTTTAAATTATTATTATTATCTTCATAACAAGGATTTTTTTTCCCTCTCCCCACATCATGTTCTCCTTCGTATTCAACGAGAAAATTTCTCGATTTCATATCGTTATTATTATTATTATTATTCGATTCGATAATATCGTTTAATATCGATTTTCCATCCATTTTGTATTTTTCCCTTATTCCACTCATTTCCAATATGGTGGGTGCCAAATCAATATTCAGTACGACATCTTTAAATTTTTTCCTCTTTCTACTTCTTATTCCCGGACCACGAATCATTAGGGGTACTCTTATATCCGTTTCGTAGGGTTGTCGTTTATCCCACGGGAGTTCAAATTGTCCCATGTGAAAACCGTTATCCGATGTAAATATAATATAAGTTTCATTCAATATATTTAATTTTTTTAATTTCATAATTATCGTTTCGACGAGTTCATCGACTGACAATAACGTTTCCCATCTATTTCGATATATCGTATCGATACGTTCGATAACGTTCGAGGGTAATTCATTCGGCGGAAGTCTCAACAACCAATGTTTACCATTTTTATCCGTTAATTTATTAAAATTTGGAGTTCTCGGTGCTTTGATTTTATCATATTTTCCCAAATGTCTTTTAGCCGGAGTGAAAGGTTCGTGTGGTGATGGCGGATTTATAAACATTAAAAATTCGTTGTTAAAAGTTTGGTGTTCGTTTAAAAATTTCAATGAATATTCTTTTATAACGTCCGTTAAATAATCCGATTCTTGGGTTCCCCTACGAACTTTCGATCCGTTAACGGATAGCGTGTAGTTGTAGTATGCAGAATTACCAACCAATCCGATCCACCAATCCCAACCTTTAGGTACGTGTCCAACACCTCCGGATGATTTATAACCGTACCTGTTTAAATATTTACCGGCGTAAAATGTTTTGTAATTGTGACTTTGTAAAATCGACCCGAATGTATTGGTTTCGAATTTTTTTTGCCATTTTAAACCGCTGCAACCGCCTTCTAAACTATTGTTTACAACTCCGTGCGAATGAAGGTATAAACCTGTTAGTATTGAACTTCTGCTAGGACAACAAATCGGCGTCGTTACGAATGCATTAGTGCAGTAAATCCCTTCGTCTCCTATGTTGACTTTTGTTTTTTTTAACGGATTTAATCCTCCCAATTCCACATCCAAATCATCTGTTAATATTATTATTATGTTGGGCCTTTTTCCAAACGACACCGTTGCTTGTATACTAAATGTTAAAACATAAAACAATAGTAACATGTTTGTGGTTGTTGTTGTTGTTGTTGCTGTTGTTAACCTGAAAATAATATATAAATATATTTGATGAAGAGTTTTTAAATTGTAAACAAAAATATTATGAAATCACTGAACCAAATGTAAAAATTTTTTTTTTTTTTCAAAATAAAATTTTATGTCAGGAAGTTTTGTTTTATCAACCATAAAGTCCACATATTTTTTCTCCCATAATTTTTTTTTTTTTTTTTTTTATATAAATGATTTGATTGATAATAATTAAACTTTGTTTGTCTGTTTGTTTGTTTGTGTTTCAGGTGTGATTGATTATGTATTCTTCATAAATTTTACCTGTGGATTAATATAAATATAATGATTAGTATAATAATTATTGAAAGTATTTGTTTTAAACAAACAATATTTGAAAATGATACACTTAGTGGTACTACTACCAAGTGAAGAATTGTAGAGCCATTAAAAATTAATAAAAATAAATTTATTAGAAAAAAAATAAATAAAAATAAAAAATTCAAACAAATCAAGGTTGTTATTATTATAGAATAAATTTTTTTTTTTTTTATATATATTTGAAATTTCATTGTTGTCCTTGCATAATAATTTTAATAAATGGCAAACAAAACTTTTGGCCTTCTTTTCCTGTTTTTTTTTTCGTTGGTATTTTATTTAATTTTAAATATTTAAAAAACTATTTGTAATAAGTTTTATCATCATTTTTTTTTAAATAATGAAAGCAACGAAACAGTTTAATAAAAAAAATAAATAAATATTAATTAGATAGAGTACCCTTTAAACGTTGGTGTAAGATAACCAGAGCAGATCAGCAATCAACATTTATTATATAAATTTATCAAGATATTTATCCCAAAACTATTTGTAATAAGGAACAAATAATTAATTAATCTCAGGGTCAAAAATCAAGCGACCAAGCAAGTAAATCCTTGATCATTTAATTTCAATATGGCGGTGGAATTCCCGCTCATTTTTTCAAATTTAATTCTCATTTACGTAAACTTATTTTTTTTTAAACAATCGGTGAGTGCTTTTTACTTTATTTACAATTTTCAAAAAAAAAAAAATGATTTGAAAATGAAATATAAAAATAAATGCTAATGCGAATTATATTCACACAGGAAATAATTTAGTTTCATTGTTAAAGCCTAAGGCTTAATTTTTTTTTTTTTTTCAAACTGACAATCAAGACTATTGCCACCCTTTGAAAAAAAAAAAAAAAATTTTTTTCAATAAAATTTAGTTAGTATTACATGTAGACGAGAGAAGGAGGATTTTAGGGGATTAATAATTTTTTTTTTTTTTTTTTTTTTAATTTTAAATAACAATTTAGGATTATAATTATTTTTTTTTGTTAAAAAGTGAATTTAGTTGTTATTTTGTTTTTAATTGTTAATAATAATAATGAGTTTAATAATGTCGTAAATTATTATCGGTTAATTGTATGCCATGTGAAAAGAAAAAAAAATTTTTTTAAATTTACTTGATGAAACCAAATATAAGAAAAAATTTTTTTTATATTTTTAAAATGTGGACTAGTGCGTGAAGTTAACATTAGTTAACTATTAAATATTGTTTGAAATGTAAATTTTTATTTTATTATTATTACTATCGTTTTTTTTTTTTTTTTTTTTTAATATCAATTTTATCCTTAAAATACATACACAGACACATACTGAAAAGGACGTTGAAAGTGGCTTTAAGCTAACGTATAAACAATAACTACAGGTGGCAATACACTAGTCCTTAGCCAAGTATACAAGAAGATAAAAAAAAATTTTTTCTTTTTTTTTTTATATATATATTTTTTTTTTTTTTTACATAATAATGTTTTTCTTATAGGGCATCGCGGGAAATAATAATTAGTAGTAATGAATTATTTTGAAGTGTTTTTAAATCCCGGTAAAATTTTTGTCGAGGAATATCATTAGTTTTATTTCGACTTTCCTTCACGTCAACATTCCAACATGTCACAGGATAGTAAACGCCGCCTTTGTAAATTTACTCCAGGCTGGTGCTTGTTTAAAGAATTTTCTTCATGGTTAGTGCCTGTTAAATACCAAAATCAAAAAGCCTACTGCATTTTATGTAAACGTGTTTTTTCCGTGAGTCACAGTGGCTTACACGATGTTAAAGCTCACTGGAAGGGTAAAAAACATTTGCAACTTCAAGAGCAAGGAATGGAAAAAAATGCAGATGAACATTTAGATAGATGTGATATCAAAGCTTATACCTTAATTTTTAACGAAGAGGTATGTCTTCAGTCAACTTTATTCAAACAATTGATAAATCAATCTCACTCTCCCTCAAAAATTAATTTCTCGATATGTGAAAAATTATTATTATTTATTACTACTAGGTCAGGATTGATTTCTTGATCGAAAAAAAAAAAATAATAATAATATTTTTATCATGTCATCTAGGCCCTCTTACACTATATCAATCAATCATTTATTCAAATCACTATTATTATTATTATTAAAACAAAAACACACATTCACTTATTTTATGCTTCTTTTTTTTTTTCTTCTTTAAAATCGTAAAATATAAAATCGAAAATAAGCCAAAAAAAAAAAAGAAACGAAAAAACAAAATTGCTCTTGATTGCATTATTTTAAAATTCATTTGACACAACTATCATTAATTAAATGATGAAGTATACTTTAAGTTTTTGATATTGATACAATAATTTTTAAATTTTGAACATGTTTAAATGTAAATATTTGAAATTAGGGGCTGAACATATAAATCATGATCCGTACCAGATGGATCATGATTGTGTGTGTTCTCGAAGAAAAATTTTCCATATGGAAATATAATTAGGAATTCATTTTGAATTTTCTTTTTTTGATTTGCTTATTTTATTTACAATCCATACATATTCATAGTGAGCTTAAAAAATAGTCAATAGAATTTTTATTTAATTCAATCATTTTAAAAAAATTATGTTGGAATGTGACATTAATAAATTTATTAACAATAATCGAAAAACATTTTAATCATTATCGAAGTTTGATATATACATAAACTATTTATTTTTATCGAAATGTTTCTTCATTATTATTATTATTAATCGAATTGGTGCTTGGTTTTTTAAAACAAAAAAAAATTACTCTCTTAATAAAATAATTAATTCATCGATTTAAAAAAAAAACTTTTGTTAACACAAAACGAACTAAATGTATTTAAGAAAAAATTTTTTTTTTTTTTTTTTTTGGTTTATCGGTTTAATTTCTTTTTTTGCAGTTTTGCATGGCTTTTAAATAATTACAAATATATATACACAAACAATTATATATATATATATATATTTATAAAAAAAAAATATTTTTTTTGTGTGTGTGTGTTGGGTCAAAGTACACAAATTGCTGAATTATAAAATAGGCCACATTTTTTTTTTTTTTTTTTTTTTTTAAAAAAAAAAAAAAAAAATTTTTTTCAAAACAAAAATTTACTTTTAAATTATTATTATTATTATTATTTGTTGAATTTTTTTAAAGTAAAAATTTTTAAAAAAAAAATTAAAAAAAAAAAAAAAAAAAAAGGGGATTAAAAAAGTGAATCAAGCAAGTTTTCCCCCCCCCCCCCCCCCCCCCCCCCATTTATTATTGAAAAGGGGTTTAGGTTTTTTTTTTTTTTTTTTTTTTTTTTTTTTTAATTTTTTGGTTGTACTGGAATTATTTCAAATTACCCCCCCCCCCCCCCTTTTAAAACCGAATGGAAAAAAAAAAAAAAAAAAAATGACTGTTAGTTTTTTTTTTTTTTTTTTTTTTTTAGTTTTTCATTGCAGTCATTCCACTTCTTTCAAGGTCAGATTAAAATGTTTGTCGATATACTTAAATATATATATATATAAAATAATTTTTTTTTTTTTTTTTTGTAAACTAAATCACTCTGTACTTGTATTGTACAGAGAGAGACAGACAGATAGTGATAGAGAGAGAGAAAGAGAGAGAGAGAGAGAGAGAGAGATCTCCTCAATTCACAAAATTTTTATTTTTCATTTTTTTATTTATTTTATACGATTAAATTTTGGTCGTGTTTTTTTTTTTTTTTTTTTTAATAACAATAATAATAATTATTATTATTATTATTACGGGGTCAAATATTTTTCTGTTGTTATCTAAGTGTTAATAATCTGTTTTGTATTTTTTATTATTATTATTATTATTATTATTATTTTTTACGACGATGCGGTAGTAGTAAAGTAGTAGTAGTGGTAGTTATTTCACTTGTCAAACAACTCCCTTTTTTTTAACGCAATGTTTTAATTATTTGACCAGTTTCTCACCGGTTTATTATTATTATCATTATCATTATTATTTTTTATAATTAAATTCCTTCTTTGCAAAAAAAAAAAAATTTTTGTGTGCGCAAAAAAAAAAATTTTTCTCTTATGTCTCTAACCTAGATCTGTTTGGGGCGTTGATTATTTATTATTATTATTATCATCATTATTATTATTATTATCAATATTATCATTATTATTTTAATAATGTCGCAGTGGTAGTAGTGGTACGATCAAAACAATAAGAGTAATTTTTTTCTTTTTTTAAAATAAAAAAAAAAAAGGTGTGTATGTAAGGGGGCGGCGAAAGGGAAAAATAATAATAATAATTATGTAAATTATTTATATATTTTTCCCCTCTCTCCCTCCTCCCCACCCTCTCCCCAGCTCACAGCCCTTTTCCGCCATTTTATTTATTCTAATGTAAACTCGTTGTATTTTTTTTTTTTTTTTTTTGCAAACAAACAAATCCATTCAATTCCTATTCATGTTAACCTTCAAACTTTTATTTTTTTAAAAGTAAATTTTTCTTCCCCACCCCCCCCCACCCCCCATCAGTGATAAAACGAGGTTTCATTCACACGCACGCACACACATCGTTAAAATGGGGGAGAGGAGAGGGGAAAGGGGAGTTTTTTTTTAAATTTTTACATTTTTTTTTTTTTTTTTTTTGTTTTTAGTTGAACACGTTAGAAGAAAATCACGAGTCAAATTATGATTTTCGAAGCAGTTCTTCTTCATTTAGATCTCAGGAAAAATCAATAAATAATTCTTGTTCGTTCGCGGACGAAGATAGAGAGGATAGTAGCAAACATTTCATGAACGATGATATTATCGTCGAAAACATATTAACCCCCACGGTGACGATAGAATCCGATCCGGAATCGTCTTCCCCGAACGTCAGCATGAACATAACGACGGAAAGGGATGCCAACATGAGTTTGCAAATAAAATCTCAAGTTTCCGCACAGCAGTACTGCCTCAGGTGGAAATACCACCACAGCAACCTTCAAGTCATGTTCATACAATTGTTGCAGAGGGAAAGCTTTTGTGACGTCACGTTGGCATGCGAGGGAAAAATGTTGAGAGCTCACAAGGTAAGCACCAACAGCAGAACCTTTTTTTTTTTTTATCAAATCGACGTAAGGATTGGTAGAAAGAGAGAGAGAGAGAGAGATGGATAGAGTTTTAATAACGAAAAACGAAAACGGTTCGTTTATTGTTGTTGTTGTTGTTGTTGTTGTTGGGTGGAAAGAAAAGAAAGGCGGCCATTTTTTTTTTTTTTTTAGTTTTAGTTTAATTTTATTACATTTGTGAAAATTTTTTTATGGGAATTTTTTGCCACGAAATTTTTTTTTTTTTTTTTTTTTTTACATAACTGCGAAATTTAATATGAGATATTCCCCCGTTTTTTTTTTTTCTTTCTTTTTTTCTTTCTTCCCCATTTTGACCTTCATTGAAAAAAAAAAAAAAAAAAAAAAATTTCAATGGGTTTTTTTTTTTTTTTTTTTTTTAACACCAATTGTTTTGTTTCTAAGAAAAAAATTGTTTCTTTGAACGAGGGAAAAAAAAAAAAAAAAAAAAAAAAAAAAGGGGATTCAAAAA